CAGTGCTTTTTGCGGAAATACTATGCTGCTCCCGTTCGGGAAAAAGTTCCTTTTGCGCAAAACTTTTGCACAAAAGGGCCAGTGTAAGCAGCTGAGATTTGTTTTGCGCAAAAAAGCCCCGATGGCGAAAATGGCGATCGGGGCTTTTTTTTGCACAAAAGTGCGTCTAGATTGGCATGGACGCTTTTTCACAAAAAGTGCTTTTCCGGAAATGCGTCCGTGCCAATCTAGACGCGCTTTTCCAAAAATGCTTTTAAAGGAAAACTTTTCCGTTAAAAGCATTTGTGGAACATCATGCCAGTCTAGACGCAGCCATGGATTTGTGTATGTCTAGCTTTTCTAAATAGTTCTTTCTCCGCTGAGGACTGTCCACCTCCTTCCCACACTGCACCACCTTGCGCATTGTCTATCAATTGCCAAGGGAGGTGGTGGAATCTCCCTCTCTGGAGATATTTAAGAACAGGTTAGATAGACATCTGTCAGGGATGGTGTAGCCGGAGCTTGGTCCTGCCTTGAGGGCGGGGGGCTGGACTCGATGACCTCTCGAGGTCCCTTCCAGTCCTACGATTCTATGATTTGTCAGGAACAAAAAATTCCTTTTGCACAAGATCCATTATTCCTCAAAAAATGAGGTTTACAGGATCTTGCACAAAACGGGTTTTTTCCAACAAATAGCTACATGGGGGTATGTCTACACTACCACCCTAGTTCGAACTAGGGTGGTTAATGTAGTCAATCGAAGTTGCAAATGAAGCCCGGGATTTAAATATCCTGGGCTTCATTTGCATCTTGCCGGGCGCCGCCATTTTTAAATCCCCGGTAGTTCGGCCTCCGTCCCCGCGGCTACATGTGGAACGGAGTAGGTAGTTCGAATTAGGCTAACTCGAACTACCGTTACTCCTCGTGGAACGAGGTGTACCGGTAGTTCGAATTAGAAAGCCTAATCCAAACTACCTACTCCGTGCCGCGTGTAGCCGCGTGTAGCCGCGGGCACGGAGTCCAAACTACCGGGGATTTAAAAATGGCAGCGCCCGGCAAGATGCAAATGAAGCCTGGGATATTTAAATCCCGGGCTTCATTTGCAACTTCGATTGACTACATTAACCACCCTAGTTCGAACTAGGGTGGTAGTGTAGACATACCCCCATGTAGCTATTTGTTGGAAAAAACCCGTTTTGTGCAAGATCCTGTAAACCTCATTTTTTGAGGAATAATGGATCTTGTGCAAAAGGAATTTTTTGTTCCTGACAAATCATAGAATCGTAGGACTGGAAGGGACCTCGAGAGGTCATCGAGTCCAGCCCCCCGCCCTCAAGGCAGGACCAAGCTCCGGCTACACCATCCCTGACAGATGTCTATCTAACCTGTTCTTAAATATCTCCAGAGAGGGAGATTCCACCACCTCCCTTGGCAATTGATTCCAATATTTGACCCTGTCTACACGGGGCTTTTTACGGCAAAACCTCTTCTGCAAAAAGGATCGGCAGAAGATATGCAAATGAGAATACAATTTGCATCTCTTCTGCTGCAAAAAAATGGCAGTGCAGACATAGCCCTCTAGGTTACCTTCCTCATCCAGTAAGGACCCCCCCCCTCTCTGATCACCCTCTTCTTGCTAACATGCCTGGAGAAACCTTTCTTGTTTCCCTTCACGTCCCTTGCTAGCTGCAATTCCAATCATGATTACAACCCTGCATTCTTGAGCAATACATTTATACTCCCTAGTCATCCGTTCAAGTTTGTACTTCTTGTAAGCTTGATTTTTATGTTTAAGCTCACCAGGTATTTGCCTTGGCATCTGCATTGGCACCGGTTCAGCCCCTGGTACAAAAAGCCCAAAGACAAGACCTCCAATAAAATAAGCTCCCAAAACACCCCCCCAATGCTCAGAAAATTAAAGAAACTTTTGAAAAAAGCAGGCCGGGTTCAGCCAGGTATGAACTGGTGCCCTCTGCTACCTCCCCTGGGAATGCCCTACCTGCCCACCTCCGACTGTGTCCTTGTAAAGCATAGATTCCCAAATTGGGGGGGCATGCCCCCTAGGGGAGTGTAAGCAAAATTCCTGGGGGGGGCATGAAGCGATCCAGCCCTCCCCCCCATCACCTCTGCCAAGAAAGAGCCTGGTCCGTCCCTGGAGTACTGGCACCTTTTTTTTTACGCTGGTCCTGGGAATTAAAGGGGCCCCGCTCCTTTTTTTTTTGCTCAGCAAGCAAGAGACATGAGAGTTTCTCAAAAGTCCAACAAGAGGGCGTGGTGCTGAAAAGTTTGGGAACCCCTGTTATAAAGCATTAACTGAGGGCTGCTGTGGGGGTGAGCTCACTGTACCCCCACCAGCGCCCTGTGCGCCCCCTCCCTACAGCTTCTCCTCACTTCTCCATCTCAGGAGCTTTGGGGTCCCCCATTCTCCCATGCCCGGGCTTTTTGCCCCCTTTTCCTGACTTCTCTTCCTGTCACAGAGCTCAGTGGTTACAAGTATCAGAGCCCAGACGGGCCCAGACCAAAGGTCCATGTAGCCCGGTGTCCTGCCTGCTGACGGGTGCCCCAGACAGCGTGAGTGGAACAGGGAATCAGCCAGTGATCGGCCCCCCCACCCCTAGCTCCTGGCAAACAGACGGGGGACACTGGATAACAGCCTGGGTCACACCCATTTATGGGCCATCCCCGTTACAATCGGCATCCCTTGGCCCGGAGCTGACCCTGCGGGTGAAGGTGCTGACATTTCACATGCCATAGGGACACGGGCCGGAGTGACTGGGCCCTGCTGGGACGTTGCCAGGGGTTAAGCCAGCCCCAGGATCAGGGGGCTGGTTGGTTCCAGGGGGGAGGAAATGGGGACTTTCCCTGGAGGGGGTGACATCCTTTTTTTTAACCCAGCAACCGCGTGCCATTCCCCACCCCAGGGCTGTGAGCTGCAGCTGCCTCTGGGGTGGAGCAGAGGGACCTGTCAGCCTGTGGGCATTTCCTACCCATTTCAAAGCCAGAAGCAGCAAGGGGCGTTCCTTGGGGCCCGGCTCTTCGTGGCCAGGGAAGAGCCGGGGGAGAGGCAGCGCCGGGCCGGGGCCAGAAGCCCCCGCAGCAGAGCGCCCTGCACAGCTCCCAGCCCGGCCGGGGACAGCGTGAGAGGTGAGAGGCAGGGAGCTGAGCCCGGGCACTCTGGCTGAGGCAGGGCGACGTCTCCCTTGTGTCGTGAGGGTTGAGCCGGGCCGAGCTCCGGGAGATGCTGCCCGTCCCGTCTCCCAGGAGACACCACCCGGGGAACATGCACCCAAGGTTAGAAAAGGCGCAGAGGTCTCCGCGCCGGGCCGGTTGGTTTGGCCGGACGCGTGCCTGGTGATTCCATCGCTACATGAGCTGCAATTGCCAATTACCCTCCGGTTCCTGCAAGCGCCAGGCCGGAGGGGAGGCCGGGCCAGACACGTCTCCAAGAGACGCAGAGAGAGGAAGAGGGGGAGGGAAGGAAGAGCAGGAGGGAGGGGGCCGAAAAGCCTCGTCTCACCTCGGGATGCTTGGGATTTAGCCAGAGCCAACATGTTACCTGGGCGCTACATGAGCTGCAATTGCCAATTACCCTCCGGTTCCTGCAAGCGCCAGGCCGGAGGGGAGGCCGGGCCAGACACGTCTCCAAGAGACGCAGAGAGAGGAAGAGGGGGAGGGAAGGAAGAGCAGGAGGGAGGGGGCCGAAAAGCCTCGTCTCACCTCGGGATGCTTGGGATTTAGCCAGAGCCAACATGTTACCTGGGTCCTTCCATCTGGCCTGATCCCGGCTCAGCTCCAAGGCCCAGCACAATGAAGGAGGCGTGGCTCTAATATGCCCCTCCCCCCAGTTTGTCCACCAATCCGACTTCATTCCCAAATTGCCGATTTCGGTCCATTCGTTCCCGTTCTCCGGGGGGACGGGGCATCTCCAAGCCCGGCCCGGGCAGGGGGGCAGGGGCTGCCACCCAGGAAGCCAGACACAAGTGAGGGATCCGGGCACGGGCCCAGGTTGGGTGACATCAGCCCCGGCGATTTAGCTGCAGCTGATGGAGGATCAAGAGGAGGGGCTGTTCCCAACCCCCCGTCTTGCTCAAGACCGTGTCGAGACCAGAGGTCAGCGCAGCTTCGGGGTGCGGGAGGGGGTCAGAGCCACGTCAGAGCGGGGCTGAGCCCTGTGCAGATGGATTCCAGTTCTGATCCACTCACTCCGGGCTCGAACACAGACAGTACCCAGCTGGAGCATTGCAAAGCTGGTTCAGGGTCTGCTTTGCTGTGCGGAGGGGCGGTCACCCCAACTCTGCCTCGTCTGGGGGAGACCAGGGGATCTGTCCCAGCAGGACAGGGCAGTGGGGAGCCCTGATCCCTCTCTCCTTGCCTCGGTTCCGTAAGGCCAGCCATGGCTGAGTGAGCCGTCCCCAGTCTGCTCCCTGGCTTCTTATGCATGATCCAGGGGGACGGACGTGGGAATGAACCAATCAGAACTAGGGGGATGGACACACGGTCTGATTGGTGGATAAAATTGGGGGCGGAGCTATTGTGGCCACTGCCCCCTGTTGGAGAGAACGTGGGGGTGGCGATGGAGATACCATGTGGACACACAGGAGCAAGTTTCACCTTCCTGGCAGCCGCCTCGACCATCTCCTGGACTCCAGGGCTTTCGAGGGTGGCTGAGAATCTGTATTGAAGTGTCACCTGGACGTGAACCTAGACAGCTCCCCCCCACAGCCCTGCAGGAACCTGGGGCAGGCTCCGTACCTGCATGCTGTGGGCCCAGGCGGGTCGCCCGGCTGCTCCGCGTGGCTCTGCTCCAGCCATGGGGGCAGGAGGTTGGACGGACAGAGACTTCACAAGCTGCTCCCAGCCAAATGTCCCAGCTGCTGTCTGGAAACCGTCCAATGGGAACGGAGAGATTTTGCTGGGGGCGGAGCAACACGGGATGCCTTCCCTCCTGTCACTGGGTGTGGGGGAGTCCCCGGGCCCTGCCCCCCATCCGCAGCCAGACGGGACTCTCAGCCGACCGGTAGAACGGAAGGTTTATTGGTTGGCAGGGACACAGTGTAGCACAGGGACCCAGAGCAGCCAGTATCTTCGGGGAGAAGGGGTCCCCCCCCCAGCCCCCTTTGTTCCCTTTCCTGGCCCAGGGGGTTACCTGCTGTCTCCTGGCCCTCAGGACGGAGAGGCTGCATATTCCTCCCCAGTGAGTCCTCCCCAGCCTCCCCCTCCTCGTCCAGATAGTGTGGCAGTGCCCGGGGAAACTGAGGCACCCACCCACACACAGAGTCATTGCAGAACAGATCACACCGCCCCCCACAAGGCAAAGAGAGCGAACCCAGAAGCAAGCAGAATTCACACAGTCCCTGCTCCATCCCCGCCTCCCGCCCCTGCCCAGTGTCCGGAGCAGAGAGCAGCCGGATGTTCAAGTGTGAGCTGCTCTGTGCACAAGGGTCCCAGCGAAGCAGCCACAGGCCAGATCCGGTGCCTTGGAGGGGTGAATCTGGCCCGCTGGCCTCCTCTTGCCCCGCCACCTTAGCCCCTCACCGGCACGTACTCCCAGCAGCTGTCCCCCCCCAGGTGGGGCCTGCACTCCAGCGAGTAGGAAAACACCACATGGCCCCATTCCAGGTGGCAGAGGAGCATGCCCCTCCGGACAGCCTTGAGATGGGCGCTGCAGGTTCCCAGCAGGTCGTCTTCCCACCGGTCTTTGTCCCACACCTCCACGTGCAGTTCAGGCCACACCGGCAGCGTCACCTCCCCGAAGTCCATGTCGTGGTCCCACTCGGGGTTGTTGTCGTTGTCAATGTGGCCCGTCTGCAGCTCGCGGCCTTGGAAGAAGACCTTGACGTAGGCATCGGTGGCAGTTATGTGGTCCCCCCACAGGTCCCTGCCCCACTGCACGTGGACACTGAGCCGGGCCAGGCCCCGCCGGAGGGGGCAGCACGTGGAGTCGGTGAGGGAGCTGCTGGAGCAGTGACATTTGCAGGAGTCGACGGAGCCGCCTTCTGGGCAGTGCTGTGGGCACCTCCTCCTCAGCCCCCGCTCAGCCACGTACTCCTTCACTGCCTGCCTCAGCGCCTCCTGCCGGGGGTCTCCCGGCCCCACCAGAGTGTGGATGGGCGTGGACACTGAGCCGGGCCAGGCCCCGCCGGAGGGGGCAGCACGTGGAGTCGGTGAGGGAGCTGCTGGAGCAGTGACATTTGCAGGAGTCGACGGAGCCGCCTTCTGGGCAGTGCTGTGGGCACCTCCTCCTCAGCCCCCGCTCAGCCACGTACTCCTTCACTGCCTGCCTCAGCGCCTCCTGCCGGGGGTCTCCCGGCCCCACCAGAGTGTGGATGGGCGCCAGGGAGTAGGAGACCAGGCCGGGGCTGGCGTGGAGGCTCTCCAGCCAGGCTGAGAATGTCGTGGTGTTCTGGGTGGTGGAGAAGAGTTCCTGGGTGTGGCTGCTCCCCCCCGTCACCTCGACGCGCTTCTCCATGTAGGGCACCGGGGAGCTCAGGCTGCTCTGGCCGCTCGGCTTGTGTGTGTGGGGAGCCG